TATATTAAAATCTGTTCTATGCTCCTACTTTTCTGTTTGCTTCCACCAGAATATTAAAATAAAGTAAGACTAAATTATGAAAGAAGTGTTGGCATCAGGCGTCATCTAATATAAATGTCATAAGTGTATAAAGGTATTTCTCCCACTTTCCAAGCGTCATTCGTGGTGTAACGGTAGCATGTTGGGCCGGTAGTCCAGAGGTCCGTGGTTCGATTCCCGGCGAAGGCGATTGCTAATTTTTCATCTTTTCTGCTTCCAAAAATCCTAATGACTCTACAAGTGTTGTAGGCCGTGCGAACGGATACTTCTGAACTGATGAGTTTCTTATTTGGATGTTGCATGATAAATAATTAGTTGTGAAGTTCATCAATCCTTGCAGGCTCAAAAATAAGACTAGTTAGCTCAAGAAAATTATTTAACGTTATACTTAAACGAAATTCATGCTCCACTGAGTATGATTTCATGAGGTATCTTCTGGCGATCAGGCTCCACAGGAATCACCATGACCTTGCAAAGGATAGCCTTGATGGTTGTTATGTGTGGCCTTTTGCTAAGCTTTTACTCATATTCTACTAACAATTCTATTTGATATGCTTGGAGGGTAGGTAGAAGTAATTCAGTTATACACTACAATATCTTACAGGTTACGGTAGTCCGTTATTGTCTTATCAACATATCAGCATGTCTGCATATTACAGGTGACCAGTTTCACAATGAACTATGATTCCATCCTGAGGACGTGTGTGATGACACTGAGTAGAAGAAGAAGGTTCATGCTGATTACCGTATAGCATCAAGATTCTTATTTTAGGGTCATCATGTCTGAGATATAATCGAGATCAACCTGGGTCACCTTACTTAGTTGCAATGCGACACATTGCAAGATTACATAGCGACGCTTCTATGTTATAATAATCTTCGCAAAGATCTGTGTTATAATAAACCATTTTGGTTTCCCACGCAAAACAATCACGCTGTGCATAGTCTCGTCATTAAGTCATTGTTAAAGATATCAGTTTTATGAAATTTATGAGCGAATTCTTGGAGCCATTTTAATCCCTTAATCTTAAGCTTTATTCAAGAACCTTAAAGCATATCTAATTATCTACTATTGAAAACTTAGATCATTAGTTTAAATTAGCTTAGTAGGAATGAGATTATTAAAATAACTGATAGTAGCTTAACAGACTAATCTTCAGCCATTTATCATATTCTGTAACGAAGTAATTGGTGAGAATATAATTAAAATTGCTTAGCCTGCGTCTCTTAACATACCTTGAAATTTGCAAAACGTTGCAATGAAAGGTTGTGCCTTTTTCTGTGATATCAAGATTTTAGGAAGAATGATGTTCAAAAAGACTTCTAACGTACGTTTTCAGCTATTCCTTCGTCGAGTTCCTTAGTTCTGATGTTTATAACTAATCCCTTCCTGAATGGATTTAAAATTTTTTGACAAAATGCCAAACAGAGCACATTGTACTGGTAGATCGTAATCTGCTTAAACGCAGGCCTGTATTTTGCCTCAATGTGTATTGAGTCATTGCATTAATTAACAAAAATGTTGCATTAATAAATGACGTATTTATTTTATTAAGGTAGTCTATGCTTTCCACTTTAATCTATAATCTTTTAGGAATGGAAAGCAATGATAATATTAAATCTGTACAGAATATGCAATTTTCTACCGGTTTAAAAATACCGCACTCTCAACTGAAATCAGTGAAAAACTGTTAATATTTCTGTTTTACAGTAAATGAGTGCCAATATTCCTGTTTTACAGTAAATCTAGTATTTTTTCTACTTTTACTATAAGAAATTGAACTTTTTTTAAAGGTACTGAAAATATTTTGATCTCTATAGCGCTTTAAGGAAGATAATATCCTTATCGTTAATTTATATAAGATGTGTAATAGGTATCCTATATAAATTAATAAACGGTAATCATTTTTTTAATTTATTTATCGTGAGATTTTCTTTTTCTTTCCTTTTCTCATGAGCTATCGAGCCTTCATCATAGACTTAAAGTACTTAAATTTTCTTTCTATCGTAGTCAGCACTTATTTTCACTCTAATTTCCAATGCTAGCTAATTAATTTAATATGCAAATTTAAACTGATGCAGAGTCAATAATTGCAAGCAGACTGATATTGTGCAAGAGTTGGTGTATTTTAAATCAGGTGAAACTAGTTAAATTCATATTTTTGAAAGTGATGGCAGGTAAAGTAATTATCCTGAAATCACGAAAAAGTTCAGAAAGTAAATTATGATTTACATATACATGTAATAATTAAGATCCGTTGACGATAAATGCTACGGTATAATATAGAAATACTATAAATCATGCTGATAGGTTAACAAACTTAACTGAAGAACAAACTTACAATCGAGGAAGTTTAGATATTATTTAATTGACTAAGCATTTTAATAAGCCAACTCAAATAACTGGGTGTCGTAGTGCCCGTTCCAGAAGAATAACACTCATACCGATTACGTTTTAGAAACAATTTTGAAGTGGAAAACCGTAGCAGATCTTGTTATTAGGAGAAGGAGAACCGAAGTGAGCCATGGAACAATATGGAGGCCTGTGTACAAGGATTTTAGCTTACAATTGGAATTTCAGTTCCGAATTATTTTCGTCATCCAGCGTTATGTGTAAAGCTTAAAAAGCGGAATATCCAAATTAAAATTAAGAGAAAAGGGACCATTGCAAATTGAAATTAAAATTTTGCTTTACATATTTTTTATATTGCATACACATATATACTGACCGTGTTAAATCAGCTGTACACCAAGAGTTCCTTGAGCAGAACACATTTGTTTAACCTTAGCATTCGCACGGTGAAGGCACCTTTAAGCCTAACATCTTCGGGGTGATTCAAAAATATCTGACAAAAGTATAAAGGAATTAAAGTGTATTAGAAACAAGCAAATCTTGCAGCAGAATTTATACTCGGAAATGACGATATTGAAGTGGTAAAGGGAGTTGTTGAGAGATAGATAAAAGCTTTCCTCTGAAATCAGCATTACTTGTGCAGAGATCGAACGGAATGCACCGCTACATTAACACGGAACTCGCCCACATACATTTTATGTATGACGCTCAGGAATTTAACAAAGCAGATAATCAAAGGTGGTACAGAGAAAATACCCGCTTAAATTAAGTAATTGTTTCCCCTTTATCCAACTGCCCTGTTTCCGTCCGTCCGCAATATCTCATAGATCAAATACATATCGACGATCTCCACGTTCATATAGATATGCCTACGGCTCGGAAATCTACAAAGAGGAATGATCATCTACACCAGTAGATCACTTTTACCTACTACTTAAAAGCTACAAAGGCATGTCTTTCCTTAGGCGAAATAACCCTCTTGTGCAGTAAACCAAAGTAAATCTAAAACTACAGCCGTTTTCTTCACTGATGATTGATTTTGCCTTAAATAGGCAGTACCGTGAAGCTTAGGTACTTTGAACAGGATGTTACCTGTGTGAAGATTGTACGCAGTTAAATTTGCAGCTGATCCTTTTCTTTTCGGCGAAAATGTTTCCGTTGAATTTTGCATGTATACTTGGAGTGCATTACTCTTAATTAAGATATTTCACGAGTTGGCATTTTTATTCACCCATTTTATTATTTAGATCGTATAAAAATTGGAATTTTATTTTACAGAACCTTTCCAACTTTCAGAGCTTGGAACGTTTCTTAACATTCTGTTCGGTATTTTAAGAAATACGTACATTTATAACCCGCTACTAAGATTTGTAGCCCAAATAATGAATTTGAGATCAATATTCAAGGAAGTAAAGCACATTGCCCCTTTTGATGATTTATATCGCTTTTCAGTTTATCCATTAGGCAGCGTTTCTCAACCTTTTAACTAACGCGTACTATCTAAACAAAAATTAAAATCCTTTAGTACCACCACTCTTGAAAAAAGCTCCGATCGCATAAATTTAAAAGTGTTAGAGAAAAAACCAATCAGGATGTTGAGGTTTTAATTTTCGAATTTAATAGTTAAAAATACTTTGCTTCTTTGCGTACCACCAGTATTACGCATACCACCGGTTGAGAACCCCTGCATTAGAATAAGAGATGCTTAGACTAACAACATATGATTTCGCTGCTTTATTTTATTAAAAAATAGAATAAATAAAGGAAATTATAAATTTTCTGATTTCCATAATAATTTATACAAATTTGCTAATTATTTAACAATAATAATTATTTAGCTTCTTTTCTTTAACAATTCTAAAGTTGTAGAGTAATTAGGATTTTTTTGGAAGCAGCAGAAATGAAAAATGAGCAATGCCGTCACCGGGACTCGAACCATGGACCACTCGAATACGCGCCGAGCATGTTGACCACTACACCACGAAGGCGGTAGAAATACCTTATAAAGTATTTTAATTAGTAATTCTGCATAGTTTTTGTCTGAAAATTACATTTATAGCCATATTTTAACAAACTTTGTTATTTCATACACCCTTCCTAATTATGTAATATTTCTTATATATATTTTTCTTTCTTATTAAGTAATGTGTAAATGCTATCATTAAAATACTGACAATATTTCCAGATTGCTTTAGAAGATTTTAAATGCTAGAGTAATGTTTAAATTATCCTTCATAGTTACTTTATATCATATCCAAACGATCAAATACATATTTGCTATCGCGCTTATATTGAACTACGACATTTAATGTCGAGAAGAGAGGGCATTTGTATATTTGGTCACTGCATGTTCGTAAATAATCTGGATTAAACTCATTTGCTCTGATGTGTGAAATACACATAGAAAGCTATTTATTTAAGAGCTACGTATTTGATTATGGTAAAAAATAATCAGCTGAGTGTTAAAAGCAAAATAGTTGCAGACGTAATTCAAACTGAAGTTCGCAGTGTTATTAATTGTACGAAAACATACATTTTTGTTACATTTTTAATTTAAGAGTAACTAATTATAAAAATTAATAAAATGTGAATTGTATTCTTTTCTCAGGCGATCCAGGTACTCCTGGTCTTCCAGGAGAAAGAGGATTTATGGGATTGCCTGGCATGCCTGGTCCTACAGGACCGCAGGGACCTAAAGGTATGTACTGGATGTGATAATGTTTTGTGATGTGTAGTCTTTTAGATTTTATATAAATAAGAAATAATACGCATTATTTTGAAATTAATATAAGGCAAATTTTGCAAATGTTTCTTTTAAATCCTATCAACACTCCTACCTCCCTTTATATAAAATAAAATGTAGGAAAATTAATTCAACGATTATTTTTCATCCAGAATTTATTATTGAGCTATGAGATAAGAATTATTGATTATATGGTTGATTTATGGTCATAAACTTTCCGCTGTTACGAACAAATTTTATATTTAAAATTAAGCAAAAATGCAACCCTAAATGGGCGTATAATTTGCATCAAGCCGTATAGAATTTGAGGGTAATTTTCTTCTTTTCAAATGTAACATCGGCGGATTTATTTTCTAATTACAAATTTTTACTTCAGATACTTTTCAAAATGTTTTAGTTTTTTTTAATAGAATTCTTATCTAATATCTCATATTGTGTTACTCTTCAGTGTATACCAGTGTATACACTGAAGAGTAACACAATATGACGTAGTGGTTTTCCTGGGATGAGGGACTTAGTTGAATCTGATCTACCTCCTATTGATAAAGTTGAATCAGATTTTTATTGTATTCCTCTTCCTATCTATTTTTTGTCTATGGCTGCGATTTTCGGGAATTCGTATGGTTTGGTATCAAGCGATTTATATTTTTTCTACATATTTATTGGGAATTTTGGATTTTACTGAAGTTCATTTATTCCACGTCGAATTGGGAATTTGGCTCTAAATTTCTTACTTTTTGTCTAGAACTGATTAATATTTCAAGAACATATTGCAAATGTTTGCATTGTAATCTCAATATTGCGTTGCTAATATTGGGATAATTTGTTTTAAAAAATTCTGATACTGTTTGATATTAATTTTTGATACTATGCCTATGGAACATTAACATCATGATATACTACATTTTACAGACACTTTATGATAACAACACATTCAAAACTATTACTCATTATATATCGAAGCCCTAATCGCACTGAGCCAACTCTGCGATAGTTTCCTTATGAAAGTCTTTCTATTACTCCTAAAATCAGTTTTGAACATATGAACTTCGGATTCGGAAAGAAATTCATATAGATTTGCTTCACCGATAACATAAAAATCTCAAGGAGATAAATGAAGGCAGTAAAGAGAAAACTGTCATAACGAAACATCTACAGTGATATCTACAGGTGTCAATTCAGAGGTTTAAAGATGAAAGTCGCATCTTCTCGCATATGATTAGAAAGATTTTGAGTGTTTTGAAATAGCAATTAATAGGGGTTGTCATGAATCAATTCATCAGTTGCCTCTATACGATTTTAAGACATGTTTCATTACTTTTTTCATTCATTTTATATTTTTTATATTGTTATACCAGTATAGTTTTATATTTAGTTATATTTAAAATATTATTTGACGTATTTGCGGAAAGTGTGTCTGGAAAAATGCCTTGCAAATTGTGATTCTTTTTGTGAAACCCATTATACTGTTTTAAATTGTCCTTGCAAAAACTTTATTGTGGCTCTCAGTACCTCTTTCATAGCTCTTTAATTCGAAATGTAGTTTTTTACTAGTTATTAAAAGACATTAATCTCTAAAATTAGGAATGGTAATCACTAATGTGCCCTATGGAAGACCATCAGAGCAGATAAAACACATTGCTTTAAGCGTTAATATTATTAACAAAAACACTGATTTTTACAGCATGCATTCGGACATTATTCTTATTAAGTTTGCGATGAAACATACAAGAGGATTTATTTTCTGTCTCCTACTTCCTTTTCCTTCAATTAACATTTTTTCCTGTTCATCTTGATTATCTCAATCAGTACTTGCAGGCTCAATTCTTTATTGGATTTAGAAGTTCGCAATTGATTTTCGTAACCATCATATTGACTAAAAAGAAATTTCTTTAAGTAGTAATTTATAAAGCATCCGTATATAAGGATTTTGATAATTATTGATGTTATAATTACAACATCTATAATGTCCTTTTTATGAAGTTTTATTAATCTGAATTTTTAACGCCATTGCAATATAGAAATTAGATACATAATTCAAGATATTAAGTGCATCCTTCATTACACTTAAACATATCTTTCATCGCATGCTATTTATTTATTCATATATATATTTTATATTATTTCTATTTTATATTATTTCTATGTTATTCATTCTGCCTTTTTGCTTGCTATTCAGATTCCTAATTTTAATAAAAAAAATTCCTGATTCAATAGGAGAGAAGGGCGACAGAGGTGATAGAGGACCAGAAGGTGTTGGAATTGAAGGACCCATGGGTCTACGAGGACTACCAGGTACATTTTAGCTTCATATTAAAACACATAATAAATATTATTTTGAATATATTTAGCAGGTGCTGTATGAAAAAGGAAACTCTTGAAATATATCATCATTAATAACATATTCAAGCTCGAATACCAGTTAAACAAAAAGAATCATTCTAAAAAATTAAGCCATTATAAACCGTTATAACGTATACCAAGGGAGAACTGACTGTTGTATACAGCGGCAAAGGTGCACCGAAGGTCGAGCGGTAAAATTGCTGAACTCTGGTAATTCCGACCTGGGTTCGATCCCAGGCGAACGAGCTGGCTGAATGGGAGTTTTCATGGTTTATACGCATATGTATCGTGTAAACAAGCTAGTTTCCCTTCGAAAACGTTTTGCGAAGTCATCCCTCACCTTATACCGATAGTTCTAGTGTGCTTTGCCATAATCAACTAAACCAAACCAAACATAGAGCAGTAATCTGTATGAAATATTGTCTCATCCTGTTAATCTAGACCACAAACAGATATGCACATGCGCGGTTCTGACCCGTTACTTACACCAATGGCCTCAAACTGGCGGCCCATAGTTCGCATGCAGTCCCCGAAGCAATTTTACACGACTCATGAAGACACTTCAATTATGTATTTGTTGCAAAAACGATGTTAAAATGGTTCAAGATTTTAGTTATTTAAAGCTCGAGTTAATATTGTATTCATGTCTATTAAAGACGAACTTGAATAGCTCGCCAAAAATGCATAAATGGAATTAATTAATTTACAGTAGGATATATATCTTATTCAAAGTTTCAAGATGCAGATATATTACTTTTTATTTGCACTTTTCAAAAACTTAATAAACCTCATAGACGAAAATTGTTTCACGAAGAATAATTGCTTTGTTTGCAAATACATGTATATGTGAATAACGTTCTTCGCAGTTGGAAACTAATAAGAGAAAACCCGATTGACCGATCAGCATCTAAAGTCCTTGTTGAAGGTAATTTCTAGTAATTTCAGTCCAAGGCTACAAACTTTATCAGAACGGAAATGCCATCAATTATAAAGCTATAGTAGCAAATAAAGAAGTTTATAATTATTTACATACAAACATACGTATTTTTATTTATGAGTCGAAGAAAAATCTAATAAATAAGAGAAAGGGACTAAATTGTTATTATTTATTCTTAAGTTTTTTCCCACTTGGAAAGTTTTCTCTGAAAGCTGGCAAACTTTTCATTGTTTGCTTATTTTTAGTTTAAATTAAAGTAAGTTATTTAATGAACATGTTAGCACTATTTGAAAGGAATGTCAGTCTAGAATTTAATATTTAGCTGTTAGTATATTTGAATTAGAAAGCGTAACCAACAGAAAAGTTTTTCCCGTACCAAACTTAAAATTTCAGATCGAAAATACAGATTTGAATTTTTATCCTTTGCAATATTATTATTATTGTTCATGCATGTTTTGATAAACATTTAGTAAACTAAATTTAAAATTTATAATTTTTTTTTATTTAGTCAATAAAATGTTTCATTTTTTCGCTGCTCTGTCAGTTATTTTCCAGTCGTGTATTCCGCCCTCATGTACCTTAAGGCGACTTATAAATCTGCTCTATCAAAAAAAAAAAAAAAATCTGCTCTGTCAGTTATTTTCCAGTCGTGTATTCCGCCCTCATGTACCTTAAGGCGACTTATACAATACTTGATAGAAAGCGTGATTCCTTTCTGTCTGCCATCTCGTGAAAATGTATACGATTCTGTACAGTATAGTAGTAGTATTGTCTGTCTTTAGTTGGTAAGTTAAAAGGATTAAAGTGGTTCTAATGATTAAGAGAGAGAATTAAAATGAAAGCATTTTGTAAATATAAATTGAAGCGCACAGTGCATTAAACAGTAAATTTATTACTGCTTTATTTAATATTAGCAGTATCTCACTGTATGTGATTAATTAATTGCACTTTATACGTATTTTCACAACGCTTTTGCATCATGTGAAATATTTGAATTATACATACAATTTTTGGAGTATAACTTGTAAATAACTTTAAGGTTTTTGAGGAACAGAGAATTGTGTTATGATTGTCAGGATTCGAATCAAGCATTTTACAACTGTCTTCTCGAGTTGTTCATTATGTATACGATAAAATCGCACAAGGGAAATGCAACAGTTCCTGGTGGGCACACTGTGACAAATCCTGTTAACTCTTTTTCCCCCTTTATTACTAAGCATCAATTTCTTTGTACTTACACCATATACATTTCAATAGCAAAATTTTAAAAAATTCAAAAGCTGTATACCAGTATATGTTTAATATTCCCTGCACAGCGTTAAGTGTTGGTGTACATCTTTTCTTTCAGTCTTTGCTCAATTTATCATAGCCATTTTCAGTTTTCTTACTAAAATGGCTACACACAACTTTGTTTTGTCTTTATATTATTAACGTTTAGTATGTTTACTTTACGTCACCTGTAATCACGTGCTGTGATCTTCTGAAATTACTAAAGATATTTTCTAATGTGTGGAGATTCGGCCCCATATCCTCTCGTGGTGAGCAGTAAATGGAAGTAATTAATAGCTGTTCTGATTTACAGTTAATACTTATCGTCATCACATCTCTATGGCTTAATATAATTGTAGGGGACCATTTGGTATTGGTGACTATAATACTGGCACGTGGGTTAACTAGAGGATCCTTTTCGGTAGATTGAAATATTTGCCAGTGAAGGGGAAGGCATCTAACTTCACCTTTTACGCAATACGGCTCAGTAATGCAAATTACATCATGATTGTTATTTTCAATTACTTCACTAAGTTGTTCTGACGCCTTTTTTCCTCTGCCTAAGTTTATTTGAAGGATTCTAAGCTTGTCCTGTGGAGGCGAATTATTGTGTAAAAATTGTCGTAAACAGTTGAGATTGGGGAATTGAAGGGGCGGCGGTAGTACTTGATGGATTCATGTACAGAAAGGGAAGTTTAAATTAACTTAAAAGAAACTAGGTAGTAAGCTAACTATTCTTCTTGCTTTGATGTGTAAACTGCAGCAGCTTTAATTTTTGAGATTTCCCTCTGATATAATGGGCATTTGGGGGAGAATGCAGCATGTGAAGTATTGATGTAGGTTCCATATGTGCAGAGTTGAACAGTTTACAGTTGATACAATCCGGTACGTCTTCTTTGCAATTCCTTATGGAGTGAGGTCCGCCACAGAAAGCGCAATAAGTCCTAAATTTGCATGCACTACCAGAATGTGAGAAATCTTGGCATCTGTAGCATCTCCTCACTCCGTAGAATTCTGCGATTGGGAGAATGCTCCAATTAATTATAATTTTCCTACGTTCAATACATTTTGATAGAGTACGAGGGGAGCATTCGAGAACCCACTTAATGGTGTTGGGGTTTTTGCCTTTTGTGTAAAAGAGAGGTGAAATCTCCTCTTTATCAATCCTTAGTTGGTCAACTAGTTCTTCGAGAACTAATTTTGGTGGTAATGTATTCGGGATATTATTGATTGAGATTTTCGGTTTTTTAACCCTTGGTGTTTTTATTTCTATTAAGTTATTTGCTTCTTCGGAAACGTTTATGGCGTTAGTAATCTTGTTGAGTTCTTCCTTTGAAGTGCTGCTGATCGCGATGCCTCCATTCTTAATATTTGCTATATAATCAATATTGGCATTTATTTCTTTGAGGGGAAGGATCTGATTTAGTTTCTCTGTAATATGGCATTTTAGCTCTTGCTTTGGGTATAGCAAAATAGTTGGGTTATTTTTTCTTGGTACCTTTGCTACAGCATCAGCATATGAAATTTTAGGAACATTATTATCCTCTAATAATGACGGCATTGTTTCTGTATTAATTAAGTCTGTGGTGGAATCATCGCACTGACATGTGACGGCGTGGCGGGAGGGATGCGGAATACCTATCGGAAACGGAACGTCGCTTACGTTACTGATCCCATTACTTGTAGCAATATCTCTGAGCTCATCGAGCATCTTTTTAAGCTTTGTGAACATTCCTGGTGGGATGATGCGTTTTCCGCCTCGTCTAGTACTGGCTAGATCTAGACATGCATGATAAAGATTTACGGCTCTTATATGCGGTTCTTGGCGTACTGTTGCTGTTTTTTCCGGTGGTAAAAGCATACTTTCCGAGTTGACGGACACTGGGCTCGAAGGACGTGTAGTTTGAGCCATGCTGGAAGCTGACTATACAAGAAACATCTAATTCACAGAATTTTATTATTTGATTCAAAAATTGCAGGCGAAATTGGTGGAAAATTCTTTCTATAGTAAATCGCAATTTCGTTTCGAGACTAGTAGCGCATTTAGGCTAACGCTCCTTTTGCTGTAAATACACTTTAACTATAACTATGATAAATAATTCATATTATATAAAATGTTACTGAAATTACGAATGAAAAATAACTGTGTAGATTTAATAATCGTAAAATTATTTGCTGCTTTGAAGATTAGAAAAAATTAACCGAAAGGTATACTGCTTTTCATAATTAGATTTACATGAATATGCATATACTGTGTAGAATGTACTACAAAATATTTATGTAAAACTAATATGTATGTAATATGAATATAGTATGTAGTATGTAGAATACATATGTAAAATATGTATGTAGATTATTCTTAATGGCATTATACATTTACATACTATATTTTAGATATAAATACCGGAAATTATAAAATAATGAAACTTCATGTTTCCTCTTAACAAGTAGACTTGTTCTATTAACCCGCGAAGACGCGCTCTACTTTTAGGTACGCGACGACGCTCGTTGGGCTCCGTAGGCCCGAAGCGTTTTTTCTTAACAAAACAAAAATTAAATTGCTTGTGTAATTGAAGAAAAACATTTAAATAATAAAAACAAAGTGTATAAAATATAGAAATATACTTTTAATTTAATAAATCTAATAAAATTGTATTTTAAAACAATTTTAAGACTGAAATTATTTATCATTAACAACAAAAATTAAACTGATTTCTTTTTGAGCGCAAATGAAATTTAGTACTAA